ATTCCAACTTCTGTAGACCTCACTGTATGCAGAAAAATGCCTATTCTGAAATAGCTATTTCAAAATGAGGCGTGTGTACATGCTCCACTTCTGCTATTTCAAAATATCCCCTCCCCATTCTAAGTTATTCAACCTGGGGTTCTAAATCAAGGTAGCACGTCTACATTAGGGAAGCCTCCTCGGACTCATTTTGAGGTTTCCCTGCAATGTAGACGTGCTATTTTCAAATAAACTGTTCCAGAATAGCTTATTCCAAAATAAATGTGCCTTGTAGACATAGCCAGACAGTCCTGAGAGATGAAGCAGCCGGAGGGAAGCCAGGAGAGCAGAGGCCAGTCTGAGAACTGAGTGTCCCAGGTGTCTACCCCAGGCCTTCTGTCTAGGTCCCAGGTGTAAGGGGCAGCACTAATGACTCTGAATCCTCCAATCTGAGTTTAAATCTCAGTGGGACGGGCTGGGGTGGTTGCTGGGAGGTCCTTGTGCTCCAGGCTTTTTGTCTTCCTTGTCCTGAGGTTCACTAAGGGGGGGTTTTGCTTGTCTGAGGCCCAGTAGAGCTTTGTGAGCAGACTTGTGCTCAGGTGACTGATGTCATCACAGCTGCAAGGCAGGTCGCCCATCTGACCCCTGAGCTCAGCCCATGCTGGAGGCAGCCAGAGAGTGTGAGCAGAACGGGGGGCGGGGGAGTTGTATACTTTGGGAAGGGTCCTGGCTCCCAGCCACATGCCTTGGAACAAAGACCAATGGTCCCTGCACAAAGTGCATTGTGGGAATGAGAGTTGGGGCAGCAGGAAAGGGGCCGGCCCCTCAGCACCAGCGAGCAGGTGGGAGAAGATGGGAGTGAATCCTGCTACCTCTCACGTGCAAAGGGAGCACTAACCCACGTGCAACTCATCTCTAGCAGCTTTGTGCCCCACTAGGGTGGGTTATTTCAGAGACCAGGGAGGATGAGAGAGGGGGTCTCTGGATGCACGGAGCCCCCTGGCTCTGCCTGTGAAAAGAAAGAACAAGAGCACAAGCAGAAACTTCAATTCCACTTTGTGCTTCTGGAACCATAAGTAGAACAGTTT